CATTAAAGTCCATTAAATTATTATTTTTATAAATTTGCTAATCTTTGCACTTTAAGTTTCATTATATGGGGTATCCAGACATTTTAATCCTCGTCCTATTTAAAATTATCTCAGGTGCCATATATTCCGAGTAAAATTTTTCTAATTTTTCAACCATATTTAAAAAAAAAAATGGGTTGAATATGAATTTTTTCAACAAATATTGGATTTTCATCTCCAGTATATACTACAAAGTAGCACAATTTTCTTTGAGCTATACCTAGCTGTCCTTGAATCTAAAAGTATATAAAATCATTATTAGAAAATCAAACATAAAAAAATTATTAATATTATAGTATCATTTCTAGCACATTTCTTAAAAATCATGAATTATTTTATCATATTGAAATTTTTGACCTGCTAAAAGTAGTTATGGTTTTTTTTTAAATGAATGTCACCATCTTCTACTTTTAAGCATGGAAATGGGTTTGAATATTAGGTAATGTGCGCCAATAATGTCAAATTATGACAATTCGCAGAAAACGTCAACTTTTTATTTAGATTTTAATGTGCAAAAGCCTACCTACTTTGGATATTGATCGTAGAAAAAATATATTCAGAATAATGAAACATTATTATTAAATAACAAGTTTTTTTATTGTCAAATTTAATACGTAATATTATTTTTTAATTGCAAATATTTGAATGTTAAAATTATAGCGTTTAATTTTTTTATTCAATGACGAACTCGAGAGTGATAGAAAAAAAATACTACCTACCTTTAATGCAGGAAGTCGATGTCAATTTATCCAAAAATAAAACTGATTAAAATGTACAATGAAACTCACTAGGACACTTGGCACAAATAAATCAATTTTCTATTAAAGAAAATAACACTTATTAAAAACAAACAGCACAATAAAACACTTCAGAAACGTGTGATGTAATTTTGAAAACTAAATACCCGTAAGCTTGTTTGTAAATTTATAGACTCTTAACTCCTTCCCCCAGCCTTCATTAAGTATATTAAAAGTCGTGACGTCATATTGGCACAGATATACGGTAATGTGTTATTGACAATCAGGGACATGTTTCTAGGAAATAACTACCTAAGATAAGATAAATGAATGTTAAATACCTACTCATAATATCTATTGTAGGGTTTTTGTACTTTAATAGGATAAATATTTATGCAGGCCTGGAAATTCCAGGAAATGACAGTCTAAATTACCCAAAAACATTAGGTTAGTACCAACATCAGATAACAGATAACTTCGGTATTTAACCAATTAATCACAATTAATATTCTTGAACATTCAAATGACAAAAACTTCCATCTTTAACCAATGAGAATATAGTTTTCATTCGATACTTCAAAATCACAATTTATTAATTAGGTAGAATAGTTTTAAAATATATTGCGAATTGCGACACGTCAAGCGTCCCACTCCGACTCAATGTGACGCAATTATTGTGGCAATATATTTTGAAACGACTCTATATTCGTGACTTGAAATTATAAACATCCCTCGTATTACTACTACCCGTATATAAACCAAATTATTTGTTTTAGGAAATATTTATATTTAATGTGAGGCAAGATATCGTTTTTGTTGTTACCATCTGCATCTACATTCTTTACTTTGGTCCAGGAAACAAAGTCAATTTTCGATAAAAATAAAATGTAATAGGTAGGTAATACTTTATGAAACAGTACAATAAAAGTATTGAAATAAAGTATGCTCATACTCCAAAATGAGTCCTAGAGTTAACATTTTTATAATATTATAAGATATGGAGTTCCCCAAGGTACTATTCTAGGCCCACTTCTTTTTAATTTGTATATTAACAATCTGTTTTCAATCAAATCTAAAGGTGAGATTCTGGGCTTTGCGGACGATACAGCTGTTTTCTATAGCAGTGATACTTGGCATAATATTAAAGATCTGGTCGAGAGTGACTTTCCTGAAATCCAAAATTGGCTTAACTCAAAATTACTAACTATTAATTTAGAAAAAACGTTTTACTTACCATTCTATTGTAATAAACCATCAGCACCTTTCTTTAATAATTTAAATTTTACTAATAATAACTGCCACTTTAGAATTAACCAAGTATCAAATATAAAATATTTAGGAATCTATCTAGATAGCCATCTTAAGTGGGACGAACATATACTGTTCATTTGTAAAAAACTAAGATTTATCCTTTACAAATTTAAATATTTAAAATCAATCCTTAATATTAATCAACTGAGACTTCTTTACTCTGCTTTGGTGGAGAGTCACTTGAGGTATGGCCTTTTAGTATGGGGCAACGCTTTAAAAACTCATATGCATACACTAGAAATCATCCAACGAAGGTTTTTAAAACTGATGCTTAATAAAGATTTCACATACCCAACAAACCTGCTATATTCCGAATCAAAAATTCTAGATATCCGACAACTTTTTTACGTAAAGGTAAATATATATTATCATTTCAACAAAAAAAATATACAACTACAACACTCCTATAATACACGAAATAAAAATTCAGAGTTAATTCCCCATATGCATAAGTCAGTTGGACAACGAGCTTACTCATATATCGGACCTAAAATGTACAATTCATTACCACCAGATTTAAAATCAATAGTCTATCTAAAACATTTAAAAAAAAATCTGACTCTCTACGTTGAACAACACCGTGATTTAATTCATTATGTAATCGAGATTCTGTAGTTAAGCAGATATATCTGTCTTCGGTCTATCTTTCCACTGTTTCAGAAACTGTAAAAACATTTATTTTTTAATTTATCTTTAAATTTGTCTCTTAGTGAAGTTATTTATTGTGTATTGTTTGTTCAATATATAAAAATTGTATGAAATGTTTATTCACAATGTATTTTTATGCATATTATGTTATTTAAAAATATAGTCATTTAATTTTAATTATTGTCTAGTATATATTTGTATTTAGATTTACTATATTGTATATTGTATGTATTTTTTATTCTAAATTATTTTCGAAACAAGTGTTAAATCGCTTATCGAGCATAATAATTTATTCTAATTTACTATATTAACATGTACTTCTATTTTTGAGAATAAATTATATTATTATTATTATTATTATTATTATTATAAATGGCATATAAAACGATTGGACCGTTTTCACAATCACGAAATAATTTTTTTTATTTGGTAAAATCCCGGCAATTATTGAAAAATAGATTTTATGTTCAGGACTATTATTATGATCCTTCGAACTCAGTCTACTAAAAACCGGTTTATAATACAATATAATACAATATCCCCTAATAGCTAGTCGGTCGATATTTATAGTTACTTAAAGATTTCTGTAATAATTTGCACTAATTCAATCTCTAGTCGGTAGGTAACAGCACCTCCTTGATTAAATCTAAATTGACATAATTTTGTTCAGAAATTCCTAGGAGACGCTGTCCTCAAAGGTGTTTATAATTATTCACAAAGTTTATTGTACGTATTTTGATATGTGGCAACGTTTTAAGTCTTTTTCTCGGAACATCGATAGCATCCTTTTCTTAGTAAAGAGAAACACAGAGAAAGAAGAGAGGGTTACTTCAGAATAGTTTGAATCACTTTCGTAAACGTTATGTATATCAGTTTGAGTTGTATTATGTCGTTGTTGTGAAATTTTTACAATAATACAGTCTTAAGTTTAAATTTCTGAACATTTAAGTATCTTGCCACAAATAATTAATCATTTTCTAAAAACATCTACTGAATTTGCACAATTTGAACCAAAGCACTTTTTATGAATAATAGAATTTATTTATAGATGTAAATATATGACACTAAATAAATTATAATGACAGCGCCTGTATTTTTTATACTGTTCTTATATGAAAATTGTGAATTTAGTATATCGTAGATTGCAAATCAAAATCCGAAAAGTCAGAAATATCTGAAATAAGATGTAGAATAATTTTAAAATTCGGAAACAAATCTCACAAATCCCCTTACGAATTATTAAATTATAGACAAAAGTAGGCCTTATCTCCTACAATATTAACATGATATTTTGGAACATCAAATCAGCATCATAACGCAATAAAATTTAAAACATGTTGCATGAAACTTATACGAGAGTATCTAACATTTTTTGAAAAAATGAGCAGAATTCTTCATTATATTAATAAAAAATAAGAAAAATATATGCATCTACATATCACTAATATTTCCAAAAAAATAAAACAAGAAACTGACTAAAATTATTATTATAATTTAATTATTTTATACTGATACAAAAGAGTTTACAGAAGTAACAGTAGTGAAGCTAAATGTGAAAGTTCATAATTTAAGATAATTTGTTTTTTAAATTATTCTAAATTTTAGTATTTTGTCTTACAATGATGGTGGGTGGGTGGGGTTTTTCAGGTTTTTTTCACCTGTAAGTCTGATGGCACCATTAATCATCTTTAAGTCGCCTCGGAGTGCCACGGCAAATAATAATATTAATAATAATAATCGCCGTCCCTTTCCCGGACACATTCAGCTTTTGGGGTTAAAATTCATTCGTCATTTTGTATACTACTTCTAAAGCGTAGGAGAAAACAGGATTGTCATATTTTTTCTTTCATTTTAGTCAATATGCTACTAGGATTTTAACTTACGAAGGCACTTACCTAATTTTTAATTAAGTTAGTGGCTTATTAACTATATGAAATTGTGGCATAGGTCATAGGTTGGCCTGGTTTTAATCTGCGGTACACCGTTTCACATATCTCTATCTACAAAATACTATCATTTACTTATTTCAATAAAAAAACTGTTTTGTTTTCCCACTTCATATAGTTTTATTACTAAAAATATGTATAATTTACAAAAAATTATTTTAAAGTTAGGACCTGGCCGACAAAGACAGACATGTCAAACATATCTATAATAACTACCACGATTTGTATAATTTTTTCGTCTTACTTTAGAAATATTTTTTAAAGATCGCTCTTTATCTTTAATGCGAAGTAATAATAAATTTATATTTATTGTTTTCAGTATCAAGAAGAAGACTGCGTAGACCAACAAAATCCTCAGTAACAGTATCAAAAGATCAAGAAGTCTCATCAAGTGTATCAAAATTAAGAAGAACAAGGCCGAGTAATAGAAAATCATCAGTCAATTCAGTATCTGTCTCGAAAAAGGACAAAGATGATGGTTACAAAGTCGTCTGCTACTACACGAATTGGTCGCAATACAGGGTAAAAATTGGCAAGTTTACTCCAGAAGACATTCTTCCCGATCTATGTACGCATTTAATTTTTGCTTTTGGATGGTTAAAAAAAGGAAAATTATCTTCATTTGAAAGCAACGATGAAACCAAAGATGGCAAGGTTGGGTTGTATGAGAGGATTCAGAAGTTGAAGAAAGCTAACCCTAGTCTAAAGACTCTTCTTGCTATTGGTAAGTTAATATTTTCTTTTAATTAACAAAAAAAATCTAGACACCTAGAAAATAGAAACATAAAAGTTTATATATAATATGTTAAATTTTGTTCCTATTTTCATTTATAACTTACAGGATGAAATTGCTTTGCAATAATTCTTTAAAAGGTTGGTAAACAAAATAATTTCGAAAATACCTTTAATTTATTACCCAATAATGCATCTTGAACCTTGGAGGGTCATATATTACTCCAGGATAACCTTTGTGGCTCTGTTTGGCAACCACAAATTGATCCAAGAATATAATAACACAGAGACCCTTACAAGTTTAAAGTTTGTTTCTATAGCAGTTTCCGAAAGTCAGGAATATGCGAAATAAAATAAATGCAAGCAGATTTTATACAAGGTCAAAAACTGTTAGAATGTGTTTTTGTTTCTCAAAATATGTCTAGTTTTGAGTTACTTTATAAATAACAGTTTATTCCTGATTCCCCTTATCTCGAAGGCTTGTGTTCTTATTGCTACTTATTCTTAAGTCCACGGTTTTAAGCAATACAGGAGTAGAGATTTAAGCTTATCTAGTGCAAACAAGGTGTATTAGTTTCTGTGCCCTTTCTGGAATCCTGCTGATTAACATGGTGTTACTTAGATTACTTATCATTCCGTACTATTCGCGTAATATACATATATATGCTTATTAATAATAGACATATATATGTTCTTGTTCATTTTAGAAGAACAAGACATTGCCCAGTGTGGTATATGTGGATTTTTATTTATTTATTTCATCTAAGATTTGCAAGATTACCAAGACTGTCCCAAATGGAATCGGCAGCCCTTCAAGGAAACATCACTGCAAACCTCAGCAACACTTTGTAGAATTGCTTCTTTAAAATCAGCAAATACTGTTCGTAAAGTTAGTATTTTATTGCATTTGCCAATTTCAACTAGATGTTTCAATGCCAGGGTGTATTTTTTCGTTTAGGTGGCAATAAAAAGGAAACCAATGGTATGAATAATGGTCATATTTTAGACCATAAATGGAGAATATTTGCAGACAGCATTCAAAAAGTCCATCTATACCGGGTGTTCAAATTAAAGTGTTACAGCTAAATACCGCCTATTATAAAAAAAAAACGTTTCAGACGAAAGTTTTATAGTTTTGTGAGGAAAAAATTTTGGCTAAAATCGTCTTTTATAGCTAACCATAATATGGCTAACTTTTTTTTCGCCCAGCAAAATTTTCAAGTAGCTGTTACTCAAAAAGTAAAAGTCGAATAAAAAAAATATTTCCATCAATAGTTTCTTAGTTTTTTATGTACTTTAAGAATATGTAAAAACAAAATGGGGTTCCCATTTAGAAAAACAAAGTCCACGTCGATATGGCTATATTATGGGTAGCTAAAAAAAATGAATTTAGACAAAATGTTTCCCTCAAAAAACTATAAAACTTTTGTCTGAAACTTTTTTTCTAAAATGCATATTTTCGACGATATTCAACTGTAACACTTTAATTTGAACACCCGATATAAATAGTACTTAAATCTGCTAAAAACTCTGGGCTGGTCTTGCAAAAAAACAAATATTTGATTATCTATATCGTTTACGATTAGAAACTCTTCGCCTGTGTTGGTTTTCACTGCGAATGGTCTTAATATTACATGAGTTTTTTCCATATTTTTTGGCAATTTAGGCAAAACAGATGGTCGGGCATTATACAGATTTTTTTTTGACCAATCCCACATCCTCGGTTGTCAAGTTATTAATATCGCTATTTCGTAATTCCTTGGGTAAAATTTTTATCGAGCGTTTACTAATATTTTCTACGGTCTTTCGCTATAAAGAGTTACTTAATATTTGGCCATTAAGTACCTCTTAGAGAGTTACTTAAAATTTAACCTCTTCGTTTAATTTGTTATGATTGTGGTTATCCATAATTTCTGTTACTATGTTGTCAGCACCTTCGGTTTTTAAAAATGCTTAGCATTTTTCTTTTGTCTGTGTACAACAAATCCAAAGTTTGGCATCATGTTTAACATCTAATGAAAACAATATTTAAGGCCATCTAACACAATCAATTGTTTTCCTCATTCACTTATTACAACTCTCACAGAACTCATTTTAATAAACAAAAATTAACACCTTATACAAATTAAGCAACCTATATTAAACATTTTGTAGGTTAACAACCCTTTTTATATCTGATATCCATAGATGTATAACAAATGAAATCCTTCGATAATATATAATTAAAAGATCATTTGGTACAGAAATTCAGAAAGCAATTAAGAATTTCCAAAATACCCCTATCAGGAGGATTAGAAAGATTACGTGACCCGGGACTTTATTCGACCATCTAAATTTCTTGACCCTTATTAATTTAGGTAGATGGCTCAACTTATCTTTGGTCAAATTTTCTGCATAAAACATTGCAGTCTCTAACCAAGTTCCCCATCTAGTAACAACAGGTTGTGGCGAAAAAGGAAAATTCAGCAAACTCTATAAAATCGTGTTCCTATAGGTGCCTTAAAAAATATTTTTTCATTTTTGAAATTAAATTATTATCAAGAGGAAATTTATTTCTAATTTCTTTTGCGACGCTACTAATACCATGGTTCAAAAATTGTGTACTTAACGTGTATAAAATATTTTCAAATTTTGGCCTGCTTTAACCATGTAAGGTGCAGCGTCTGAAAGAGCAAACATTTTTCATTGGGACAGCTAAAGGAAGAAAAATTTGTTAGTTTTGCAAAAATCTTAAAATTGTTAAGGCGTTCGTTTTATTCAGCTGCTTGTAAGAAATTAAATGCGATTTAGAAGCTTGTTCATTTTTAAGAGCTCCCATTAATAAATGCGCGATGTAACAACCCGAAGAATCAGTTATTTCATCCACACATATTTAAAAATAATTATCTCCTAGATCTAATTTTATTTTATTAAGCACCTCGTTTCTTCTTAAGCTTTTTCTTTCGCTTGGAATTTGGGAGACTGTTCTAAAATGACTGTCCTAAAATGACCAAACTGTTTTAACCAAAAAGTCCGACAAAAAAATTAAATAAATACACATAATTTCGGTATCTGTTTTATTAAAATGTTTCACATTATTTATCAAGTTTTAAGGGTGTACAAAAATTCTTTTCTAGAAAAAATACCCTATTTTACAAAAAAGTCACTTTTGAATAATTATAAAATATGTTGGATAAAATGACATACCTAAATCTAAATCTAAATCTAAATATAAATCTAAATCTAAATCTAAATCTAAATCTAAATCTAAATCTAAATCTAAATCTAAATCTAAATCTAAATCTAAATCTAAATCTAAATCTAAATCTAAATCTAAATCTAAATCTAAATCTAAATCTAAATCTAAATCTAAATCTAATCTAAATCTAAATCTAAATCTAAAATCTAAATCTAAATCTAAATCTAAATCTAAATCTAAATCTAAATCTAAATCTAAATCTAAATCTAAATCTAAATCTAAATCTAAATCTAAATCTAATCTAAATCTAAATCTAAATCTAAAATCTAAATCTAAATCTAAATCTAAATCTAAATCTAAATCTAAATCTAATCTAAATCTAAATCTAAATCTAAATCTAAATCTAAATCTAAATCTAAATCTAAATCTAAATCTAAATCTAAATCTAAATCTAAATCTAAATCTAAATCTAAATCTAAATCTAAATCTAAATCTAAATCTAAATCTAAATCTAAATCTAAATCTAAATCTAAATCTAAATCTAAATCTAAATCTAAATCTAAATCTAAATCTAAATCTAAATCTAAATCTAAATCTAAATCTAAATCTAAATCTAAATCTAAATCTAAATCTAAATCTAATCTAAATCTAAATCTAAATCTAAATCTAAATCTAAATCTAAATCTAAATCTAAATCTAAATCTAAATCTAAATCTAAATCTAAATCTAAATCTAATCTAAATCTAAATCTAATCTAAATCTAAATCTAAATCTAAATCTAAATCTAAATCTAAATCTAAATCTAAATCTAAATCTAAATCTAAATCTAAATCTAAATCTAAATCTAAATCTAAATCTAAATCTAAATCTAAATCTAAATCTAAATCTAAATCTAAATCTAAATCTAAATCTAAATCTAAATCTAAATCTAAATCTAAATCTAAATCTAAATCTAAATCTAAATCTAAATCTAAATCTAAATCTAAATCTAAATCTAAATCTAAATCTAAATCTAAATCTAAATCTAAATCTAAATCTAAATCTAAATCTAAATCTAAATCTAAATCTAAATCTAAATCTAAATCTAAATCTAAATCTAAATCTAAATCTAAATCTAAATCTAAATCTAAATCTAAATCTAAATCTAAAATCTAAATCTAAATCTAAATCTAAATCTAAATCTAAATCTAAATCTAAATCTAAATCTAAATCTAAATCTAAATCTAAATCTAAATCTAAATCTAAATCTAAATCTAAATCTAAATCTAAATCTAAATCTAAATCTAAATCTAAATCTAAATCTAAATCTAAATCTAAATCTAAATCTAAATCTAAATCTAAATCTAAATCTAAATCTAAATCTAAATCTAAATCTAAATCTAAATCTAAATCTAAATCTAAATCTAAATCTAAATCTAAATCTAAATCTAAATCTAAATCTAAATCTAAATCTAAATCTAAATCTAAATCTAAATCTAAATCTAAATCTAAATCTAAATCTAAATCTAAATCTAAATCTAAATCTAAATCTAAATCTAAATCTAAATCTAAATCTAAATCTAAATCTAAATCTAAATCTAAATCTAAATCTAAATCTAAATCTAAATCTAAATCTAAATCTAAATCTAAATCTAAATCTAAATCTAAATCTAAATCTAAATCTAAATCTAAATCTAAATCTAAATCTAAATCTAAATCTAAATCTAAATCTAAATCTAAATCTAAATCTAAATCTAAATCTAAATCTAAATCTAAATCTAAATCTAAATCTAAATCTAAATCTAAATCTAAATCTAAATCTAAATCTAAATCTAAATCTAAATCTAAATCTAAATCTAAATCTAAATCTAAATCTAAATCTAAATCTAAATCTAAATCTAAATCTAAATCTAAATCTAAATCTAAATCTAAATCTAAATCTAAATCTAAATCTAAATCTAAATCTAAATCTAAATCTAAATCTAAATCTAAATCTAAATCTAAATCTAAATCTAAATCTAAATCTAAATCTAAATCTAAATCTAAATCTAAATCTAAATCTAAATCTAAATCTAAATCTAAATCTAAATCTAAATCTAAATCTAAATCTAAATCTAAATCTAAATCTAAATCTAAATCTAAATCTAATCTAAATCTAAATCTAAATCTAAATCTAAATCTAAATCTAAATCTAAATCTAAATCTAAATCTAAATCTAAATCTAAATCTAAATCTAAATCTAAATCTAAATCTAAATCTAAATCTAAATCTAAATCTAAATCTAAATCTAAATCTAAATCTAAATCTAAATCTAAATCTAAATCTAAATCTAAATCTAAATCTAAATCTAAAATCTAAATCTAAATCTAAATCTAAATCTAAATCTAAATCTAAATCTAAATCTAAATCTAAATCTAAATCTAAATCTAAATCTAAATCTAAATCTAATCTAAATCTAAATCTAAATCTAAATCTAAATCTAAATCTAAATCTAAATCTAAATCTAAATCTAAATCTAAATCTAAATCTAAATCTAAATCTAAATCTAAATCTAAATCTAAATCTAAATCTAAATCTAAATCTAAATCTAAATCTAAATCTAAATCTAAATCTAAATCTAAATCTAAATCTAAATCTAAATCTAAATCTAAATCTAAATCTAAATCTAAAATCTAAATCTAAATCTAAATCTAAATCTAAATCTAAATCTAAATCTAAATCTAAATCTAAATCTAAATCTAAATCTAATCTAAATCTAAATCTAAATCTAAATCTAAATCTAAATCTAAATCTAAATCTAAATCTAAATCTAAATCTAATCTAAATCTAAATCTAAATCTAAATCTAAATCTAAATCTAAATGTAATTTATTTTGAATAAACGCAATATTTTTATTTTAAAGATAGGTTTATTAACGATAGAAAACATATAATGAAAGCCTTTCAGCATTGAGGTGAAAATACCAAATGACATTTGGACGATTTTGATTGATTTTAATTTTGACAAATGTCACATAAGAACTCTTGGCTCTTTTGCTTATACCCGCACATTCTATATGACCCTACTTTTTGCATTTTTGACATCTGATCCAACCTTTCTGACTTTCTTCTTTCTGTCTCAATTTTATTTTTGTACTTGTGTGGTGCTCGTTAACTCGCCAGACACCTGCGTTCTTCTCTTTTTTCTCCCTTCTAAAGATGATTCTTGTTTTGGAGGTCGAGACAGCTCTGAAAGTCGAATTCTCTTGACCTCATTATTTTTTTTTTATTCTTCTCTGGAAATCGTAGTTTCAATGATTGGGTTTCTTTGGTTAGATGGGCCTGCAGTTTGATCATGATCAGTATCTGCCATTAAGTGAGGATGGTCAGTTACTAAACTGCGCATAAACATGTAATCTGGGAACACGTCTGGGTTAAATGTGAATATGCCAGTTTTAGCAAAGCCAGAAAACGCTATTGTAGTGGTTGTTGCCTTCCCATAGGCTACAGAAAAAATATTTCCTATCTGAAGTAGCCCTACCACACGATCAGGATTAGTTTTCATCCATCGGTCAATTTCTTGGTTGTAGTAGGTGTGACATCTAATAGTTAAATTCTGTGGGTACAATGAGGAGGCAAACACATTAAAGTTATGCCTTTTTCCTTTGCATATTTTAGGGCAAGATAGTATTTATGGCTGCTGTGACCGTCTAAAATTAGCAATACTCTATTTTCCAATGAAGTAAGAATAGCTCGCCAGTTATCCACCCATTTTCTTGATAAAGCTGTAGCGTTTCTACAAGAGCATCATCCACCAGTTCTGTCTTATGTTTCTTTCTTGCAAAAATTAATGCAGGGGGGATGAAAGATGCTGCTGCATTCATGCAACATATTACGGTGGTATGGCTACCACGTTCGGCGCTGGTTATGCATCCCACCTGTTTTTTGTCTTTAGTGGCAAATATTTTAGGTGGTTTTTGGACTGATGAGAGGTCAGATTGTCAATATTATATATGTTGTAGGGTTCAAAATTATATTTTTCCATGACTTGTTCCAGACGTTGAAAAAACTATTCACTTGAAGTCTGTTGAAGGCTTGTGCCCTGGCTGCAGAGGTAGATTCTGGTGTTCTTAAACTAATTTCTGGATGACGCATACGAAGTCCCCTAAGCCACTCAAACCCCGTCATTTTTTTATCTTTACAAAACCGATGTGGTAAGTTATTTGCTTCGGCGAACTCAAAAGCCAGTTTCCTTAGTTCGGTTACAGTAAGTCCAAACAACATATTTGCCCGCGACTTAATATGTCTAACCAGTTCATTTTCCATTTCCATTGGAAAAGTTGTAGAAAACGTTCAAGGTCTTTTTCAATAACTTTTACTTTTTTGTTTTTATTCTGAGCTTGCCTTCTTAATGTAGCAGAACATTGAATTGTTTTGAAGTTGCAAGCCACCCCATATCGCCCCTTTGCAGTGCATCGATAGCTGACCTTATAGAAACCTCACTCCAGGATTGGCGATCGCTCTTTCTTCTGTATTTTCCCACTATTATGAAATAAAGATTAATTTCACAATATTATACCTAGGTACAAATTACTGGGATAAAATGACATAGGTACCTATGTCGTTTTATAATGAATAGGGGTATGTCATTTTAAACGACAAACACATCAATAAGAAATTAGTCAATCTAAAAATATAGGTACATTTAATTGAAAAACTGCACACTAAAATAATAATTATATTCTCTGTAGAACGGCACTTTTAAATAGTTCAACCGAAAAACGTATTTTTCTTAAAGTTTTGAACACTTATATTATAGTTCGCTTAAAAATCAGGAGCAGTCGAAACACACAAATCATTACTTAAGCCGCAAATATGCGAATTCGTTGATGACATTTCATGAGTTACTTGCAAGTTACTCTATTGTTTCATAGATGGTGCCAACAGTCCTTGAAAGTGCGTTGGGAAATTTAAAAGCCGCCTACGTCATTTTATCAGGCCATTGTATAAAGAACTAAATAGTAGTATCACCTTATGGAAGTTTCATTGGAGCGAAATGGATACTACTAATAGATGGCGCTAGTGAATATGGATAAGTCGATATTCCTTTGCAGTGGGCGGAGTTGAGGGTCCAGCAGAAATTTTTAAGAATGACTGAGACCGATCGATAAATTTCTATTTTTAGCTTTTGGATGAAATTTTATACACTCGTGATTGAATGTTTGGACTATTTTCTATCTGTTTGTTATTGTGCGTTAGTGCGTCTACGGGTAGTAGGTATTGTGAATGAGTTGTGTTTATGTTTTATTACTGAATTATTTTACTGTTAATAAAGGAACGAATTCCCAAAAAAAAATTGTGTATTTATAACTGTTTTGAAATTAATAAAATAGAAAATATGCTTTCGTTTTTCGTTTTCTTTACAGGTTTTATCCGAATTAATTTAAAATAAATTATATAATATTAATAATAACAATAATAATACATTTCTTAAGTGTTGCAAAAATTGTATTTTTAATTTAAATACCTACGTACTTTAGCATAAGTAATTATAAACAACAGGTTATTTCTTTAATCTGGTGCGTAACAATGTAATAAAAAAACCCTTAAGATGGATGGTAAATAATATAAATGAATTCTTAATATTGAAGTAAATAACACAATGGGTTCTATAAGGATTATTGGTTGGGGTTCGGCTTTGGGGGATAGGGTCGAAATATTGAAACTAAACTTGGTATATGGATGTATTATCCCATAAAAATAAAAATCGCTTTAAAAAATTCACCCCTCCCCACCCCTATCTGATATGGCGAGGGTGGCATTTCCAAAAAATTAAGTCAAGAACTTTTTAAATAAAACAGTTGAAGTCTACGATTTTTTATACATAAAAACACAAAATTCCAATTTTTTAAAAAAAAAAATTCCAAATTTTTTTTGAACTTTGAATTTCGACTTTAATCTTCATAGTTCGGATGTGTGGGCTGGCATTTAAAAATAGTTACAGACGAGATAAAAATCTTATTTTTGGCATATTTACAATAGAAATGATTTGCAACATTTTTGTATAAATATCTTACCACCGAATCCCGGAAAAAAGCGCAAAGGAAATAAGCGCACAGGAAATATCCGCACAGAAAAAAGCGCACAGACATATAAACGCACAGGAAATAAGCGCACGTGGAAAGATGCGCACACGGAAAAAACCGCACAAGGAAAAAAGCGCACATGGAAAAAAGCGCACATGGAAAAAAGCGCACATGGAAAAAAGCGCACATTGAAAAAAGCGCAAAGTACATGTAGTTTATATCTCGTTAAGAATAGGATACAGAACAACTGAAGATTCTCTGAATAAAAATAAAAAATTAAGTTCTATGAATACATAGTCAAAAATTATATCGGTGTGAAAAGTAACCACCAAATATGCGGACTTATATCACAGATATTATGTACACAGAACAACAAATGCATGGGAATGGCATTGTGATTTTAATTAAACATATATAATTCTCAACCGAGTTTATACCATTTTGTACATATTTTATTAAATCATATGTTAAAATTAACCCAACAAACTGTTTACAAAAAATTTAAAAAGTACCACAATAAAAAAAAATAATTTTATACAATTTAAAATTTTAGATTATAGGAACAATATTTGATCTAAATATGTTTTCGTTTTTAATGTATTAATATGGAATAAAAATATATTACACTAAAAACCTATATGCATTTTACGTTTGTACCTACATTATTATATAAAAAAATATAAACACAAATCCATGAATATATTAGTACAAATAGTTGACGATTATAAAATTAAAATAAAATCAACATGGAATTGCAAAAATATTTAGGTTTTAAAGATAAAATATGTACCTATAAAACTCGCCATTTTACAAAAAAATTCAAAATCATTACAACGGGAATTTCATAAATATAATTATTACAAATCGTTAACGATTATGACATTATAAATGAAAACAATGATCAAAAATCCTAATAGAACTCCAAAAATATTTCGAACCAAAAACCAATTCTATTTATCAATAAAAAATATAGTACACTTGTCTGAATTTTAAAATTAGCGCGAAACAAAAATAAAACCAGTCTTCAGTAACTTACTAGTAACTTACTTATAAACGTAATTTATTATAAAATATTATGAAATAAAGTTATTATGACAGAATTCCAAAAACCTAACGTTATTCTATGAAGATTCTTAAATTTTGAAAAATTTTAGTTTAATTCAGGTTAAGGCCTAAATAAATAGATATTAATGATATAATCCCTAATTACCTTACAATATTAAAAGAAGATTATCAAATTTGCAAGACGTTTGTCTAATTAATGAAACGGTCTATAATAAATAGATATTAATGATATAATCCATGAGTACCTAACATTATTCTAAGAAGATTTTAAATGTTAAAATATTAGGCACAATGGGGTCTATTCTGTAAAAATTCCTTTATATTTAACGTCTTTTAAAAATATTGTCGGCCTTTAAACATATGTTCGTATTCGTTAATTTACTTCTTCATTATTTAAACAGATTTCTTTAAGATGGTCCTCTAATGTATTTTAAAAATCCGTTTAAATAATGACAGAAGTAAAGAATAAAATATTTTTAAAGGCCGTTAAATATAAAGCAATTGTTACAGAATAGACCCCAGTTTGAGTTTAATTCGTGTCTTTATTTAAAACGTTTCGACTATCAATTCTTGTAAATGCCGTTTAGTGACCCTTTAATTATTTTCGAAAAATTTCGTAAATTTCGCCAACTTAAATGGGAAAAATGAGCTGCCAAACTGTTTAACATCCATGCATATGCAAATGAAATGTCTGTTTCCGTTGCCTTCTGATGCTTGTTAAAAGACGAAAGTATACAAGTTACTTGAAACTGAATGTGGCAACTTATGACGGCATGGGATTTATCCTGAATTAAAAATTATTAACAAAAAAGCAACTAATAAATGAAATAATAAGTACCTATCTTAATTTTATAATCTCCAGTAAAAATAAATGACCACTTGCAAATATTTCGTTTTAATTAAGATACACACTGTATGAGATAAGTAAAATATACACCCCATCAGCATAATTTCCTCGCGGCGGCGAAACTGATCGTTATGATTTTTTAAAAGCGGATTTGGTGGAATTAGTCTGTCCTCAACAATCCATAATGGAGATATAAATATTATAAACCGTATTAACTTTATTGTGAAAGTATTTTAAGAAATTTTTTAAACTTGTCTAATATTTTTCACCTGGAATATAACAAACCAAGGTACAGATCTATTCTTTGTATCGTACTTATAATAATTCCGAATAAATAACTGAGTAGGTTCCTGAATTATTAGCAAAAATTATGGTAACTACTGTAAACAACGATAATTAAAGTTTTAATCAAACAACAAAAAATTGTAACAAACTATAAATATAAACTACATGCACTTTGCGCTTTTTTCAATGTGCGCTTTTTTCTATGTGCGCTTTTATACCCGTGAGCTTTTTTCCGTGTGCGGTTTTTTCCGTGTGCGCATATTTCGTCGTGCGGTTATTTCCTGTGCGCTTATATGTCTGTGCGCTTTTTTCTGTGCGCATATTTCCTGTGCGCTTATTTCCTTTGCGCTTTTTTCCGGTCACCCTTACCACCACCATCCCCTAGAGGGAGATGGAGGGTGTGGCATCCCCAAAAAATCAAGTTAGAACTTAAAAAAAAAAGCAGTTAAAATCTACAATTTTTTATACATATAAACCCAAAATTTCAATTTTTAAATCAAATTATTAAATTAAATTATTTTTTTAATTTCTTTATTATATTTAATATTATTTCTATTTTTTCTAACAATAATCAATTTAAGATATCTACTTTGATTGAGCCAAAATATTTAGTATGGGAAGTTTTTAATATTATACAAACATACTGTGTGTCCAAAAAAAATATATGAATTTGGCTAAACATTAACCTTTATTTCTAAAAACAGGAGAACAATGTTTGTTACTTGAAAAATGTATCTAGAATTAATATTACCACCATCAAATCCTGGACCTGGACACAATTTTTTTTAGCAATACGGGAGAAGCGGAAGTGACATTTTTACAAATCAAATTAATTTCAACAAATTTATTTGAGATCATGTACAAGATTATTCATTATTAAAGACACCTTTTATAACCACTATTGCATATTCAAAAAAAGCTTTAAATAAAAGTTTGTGAATATGACTGACTTTTTTTAAATATGCCATAAAAACACGTATTCAGATTTCACGGAATACAACACAAATAAACTTTTTTAAATGGGATACCCTCTATGTTATTAAATTTCTGGGATATTTTTTTTCTAATTTCACAAATGTATATTATTGATAACCCTATCTTATACCGTCTGTTCTCGAGTAATTTAACGTTGATAATGTAAACATGAAAAAGTTAACATTATTAAAGTAAAAGCTATGAAAATCACAACTATTATGTTTGATAATAAAATAATCCAAATAAGATATTCGACATAGATTATCTATGCTATTCGACGTTTAATTAATCAGGAAAGAATAAAGATCATTTCGAAATTTGAATAATATATATATCCTGTGAAATATGCACACCACTGATATGGTCATTTGATGACATTTTTACAAAATTCGGTCATTGTAAACATTATACAATCATAATTATAGCATAAAGGGAGGATAATTTATAATGAATAACCCTGTTAGGTACCATAAATTTTCAGTAAAAAAAATTTAATTCGCACTTTTTTACGTAGATTAAAAAAAATGTAATTTGGTGCGTTTTCTTGGTGCAGACATTTTGCGACACACTGTATATTCAAATCCAAAATGATGTATTTTCTTTTAACACATACCTAATACAAATTTATTAGCAAAATTTAAATACTTGTTATTTTCGGTATATTTCTCCTTTAGACACACACATTTTTAGTTTCATTGTCAAAAGATTTAAATAAAATTACCGGACCTTATAATATTCTATTATAATTTGATGATCCCGAGTGGCCATAGCAAAAAGACGAAATTTGAGCATGAAGATTTAGATGTTATTAACGTAAAATTAATGTTTTGAAATTAATTTAAGTTTTAAGAATTTAGAAAATAAAATTAAATAATAAAAAAAAGTATCCACTCGGGGGGTTTGAACTCGGAACCCTTCGATTCGTAGACAAGTACTCTAAATTTTCGTTATGAAGACTTATGAAAAAGTTTTACTTTTTAACCCTGATAATCAGACTGCTTTTAGTTTCATTAAAATCTCAGTTTATTTCTAAATATAGACGAATATCTTGTGGAATGCTATTATTTATTGATTCTTTACAAGAATCACTAATTTTTATTTATATTTAATCTAAATAACTAAAAAAATATATACTGACAAATAATTTGACGAAATTGTCACTTATAAAGTTCTAACATCTGAGGTAGAGGGCGTATCTAACCAGTAAATAAAATCGTTAGTTCAATGATTTTACCAATAGATGTCGGGCGCGATTGCCTCCAATAACTTTTACATGGCGATTATCCTACTATATAGTTCTTTATACAATGATCAGGCTATGCCATTTGCAGTGTTCTTCAAAAAACTTACGCAAATTTAAATATCTTTTGCTTACTTGATTTTATATAAGTTGATTGAAAATACTTGGATATCGAATCTTGCTTTTTATCCCCCGATTTTAATTTTTTTTGCCGTATGTAAAGCAGTTTTGCAATGCTGAACTATTTGAAATATTTTCTCAAATGGTATCTCCAAAAAAACTCCCGTTCAGTATGTAAACTAACTTATTTTTGGATTAAGGGATATTTAATGCATCGACATGTGTCACAAAATTATTTAACAGTGAAAAATAATTTAAAAAAACGTCGAAAAAGTTTAAAATCTAACAAAAAACCTTACAAAAACCTTCAAAAGATTAATTGACTAAAAAATTTAAAAAAAACTTAAAATCTAAGTTAATCTAAAATAATGTCTAGGGATCTAAAATAATGTACAAGTTAAATGAAAAATGACAGAAAATTGATATTAATTAAGATACAAATTAAAATTACTTTTAAAATACCTATTATTTCTACTATATTTTTATTTCAATACCACAAAAAGAAATTGGGCAACATTACTTTAAAAGCCATTTTTCAAATAATAAAGTTGTTTAAATTAATTTCCATTAATTAATGGCATATTTTTAAGATTTATTATTTTTATCTACTTAAAATATTTATACTTTTCCCACATTTATGCACATTACTTTATCCTCGCACATACATTTGCATTTTCCAACATTTTCACTACACTCGATAAATTTTTTTGACACTGTTAACTCCAAAATTAACTGTTTAAATTCAAAATATAAAATTTACATGCAGCAACCAATAAAATCAGTCATTTAATCCAAAACAAATTAAGATATAATCTAATAGGTCTTGGAAGTTCCTAATTGTTACTTTCAGGTACCAAGGAATTTTTATCGAATTAAGATAAGAATAAAATTATTTTGTAAAAATATTGCAAATTAAAATGTATGTGAAGGATTTAAATAACGAATAAATTCGTTCTAAAAAGGATATGCATTTTTTTGTTTTAAAGTGCCAGTGTATGCAAAATCCAAAAAAATTGTCTAAAATATGCAACTGCATATGTATACGCACTTTCGCATATTTGCCTGACTCTGCTTATTATATTCATCTGCATATTTTTTTTATTTGCTCCAGTAGTACTGGACTAAATTGATTAAACACAAACACAAAAAAATAGTACCTATGCATTGTTTTTAGGAATGAAACATTAAATATGAAGACAAACTAGGATGATAAAAACATTTTTAAATCAACAAAGTTGTGTACCAATTATTGATTAGTTTTTTGTATATTATAGGTGGATGGTCCTTTGGTACAGCCAAATTCAAAGAAATGGCAGCCACCAGATATTCCAGGCAAACTTTCATTTACAGCGCCATTCCATTCTTAAGGCAAAGAGGATTTGATGGACTCGATATGGATTGGGAATATCCTAAAGGATCAGATGATAAGAAAAATTTCGTGCTTCTATTGAAAGGTATTTATATTGATTTTATTAATTAAGTTCAAAATTTAAGCAAAACAGAAATAGTAAGAAATATTTACAGTAATCGCTATAGTCGGTGCAAATGTCGTCAATCGTAATACTGAAAGTGATGCCAAGTGGTAATAAAAAAGGACTTATAATATTCCAAAGTGATAATAAAGAAAAAAACAAAAAACTCTAAGTGGTGTCATTGTTTTAATCATACTGTAAACGTAGGCGGTGCAAAAGTTATCATATATTTTTTTCTATCTAGATTCAACTGGTTGTAAATTTTTGCGCCACCTAGTATAACGTTCTAGAGATCCATTAGTTTGAAAGTTGCTCGTAAAAGCATTTAAGCATATTTTTATAATTAATTAATATTCTATGTTTTTTTCTGTTTTCCTGTTTGCTTTCGCTACAATAATTGAGTGCATTCCGTGAAGTTGCAGTATACCGAAACACTACAACAATACACACTTTAAAAAATATTATAAGGATAGACTTTGATAATTTTTTTGTGATTTTATGAATACCTTTCATGCAAATTAATAAACACTTTCTAACAATCATGAAATTCTTAAGAAAACACGGTGAGCCAAAAATAGTAAGCACATTTGTTTTTTATTTCCTCCTTTATTGGCAATGGATGTCAGTCCTTCAGCCACACACTAATTGAAAGGTATTAAATATTAGATATTAATATTATTTTTACTTATATAATCTATCAATAAATTGTAAACAAATTGATTTCCAGTCGCGAGCAACACCTTAACATACGTAGGAAACTGAATACCTGCTTTCATAAGACCATCCCACAGGTCATTATTACAAAAACTTTTATAGCCGAAAAATATGTAATCAAGATCTGCGACTTCGTTATCAAGAGAACATAGTGGAGAATCTGTCAGTCCTGTTTTATATAAATGAGACGGAAAGCACCCATGGTTAATTTTAAATCTAGTTATAGTCTAAGATCCAAAATAAGGTCGACCTTCATCCATCTGTTTACCGGATGAAAGTGTCTTTTTATTAAATAAAATATATTTATAAATATGTCGCAAAATGGTTGCCTAAGAAAATACGGTCCAGAGTATTTAGTTTCTAAAAATAAAAAAAACAACATCCTGTAAAGTATTTTACAGATGCTTCTATTATGCCCAAACTTTAATCAGCTCACCGCAAGATAGATTAAAGCCTAAGTTTAAAATTTGGTATCCGTTTTTAAGTTGTCTTCAAAATTCTAAATTTACAATTTTTCTTAAATATCTCGAATTAGGTCCATTTTAACGAAATCATGTATAGGGACAAAATAATAGAGAATGACATCATAAGCAACTTTTATCATGATTCTTATACTTTCTCATCTATACACAGAAAGGAAAGCAAAAAAATGGCCGTGACCGTATTTTTTTAGGCAACCCATTTGCGGTATATTTAAAAACATATTTTATTTAATAAAAAGAAACTTTATCCAGTAAACAGATGGGTGAAGGTCGACCTTACTTAAGGATCCTGGACTATTATAATTGTGCAGTACTTTTTATTAACTTTGTCATTGAATATATGCGAGATTTTATTTGGCAACTCCTTGTAGATAGAAAAATATAAACTATTTGAATTTTTTGTTATTTCTCTCCAATATTTAGTCCAATTTCTGTAAATATTATCTTTATATTTACCGTAAAGATCTTTGTAACAAGGATTTTTTAAAAGATTGTTGCATACCCTTGCTTCTTTTGCAGCATTATCAACTAACTCGTTTCCATTGTTGTTTTTTTTAATAACCTATTTTTTTAAATTATTTTTACTCCAAATTTGCAGAAAATATTCACTACAGTATAGATTCCTATAAAATAATTTCAAAACTATCGATATTTAATTAGAATAATATACAGGGTATGTTAAAATAAAAATGTTCTGAAAGCCTCTTAACCATCAATAAAAAACTTCTTTTCCTAACATATTTCTGTCCAACATAAAATATGAATTTACGTGCAAGTTAACAAATGCTTATTTCTGAATGAAAGGGTTAGTCTAGTAGATGTTTGTTGTTGACACTGTCACCTGCATTCCAAGATTTGTTTACATCTGCTAGTTTGGAAATGATAAACTAGACGGCACACATAGCTCCCACGGCTTTTTTTTTTTGGTTTATGGCCTAGGTATTAATACCCAATATGCCAGTCTTAAATTTGTGTTTAAATTCTCAATCATGTGTGGTGTTCTGTGTAGGCTTTGTTACTGTTTCCCAGCGTCACTTCAGGAACAGCCCTGTTAATTAGAACCCAACAGTGAATGGTCGATTGGGGAATCCTACCAAGGCATCAGAATTAATTTTAAATAATTAAATTAAATAAAAAAATTACGTCCAACGGTGGGATTCGAACCTGGGACCCTTGGATCCACAGGCAGAGACTCTACCACTGAGCCACCTACCCCACCACGGCTTTTATGCAGGTACAAAGCCACCTGGATGCAACTAACTTTAAATTTAAAATTTACATGGTATTCCAATTAATGTGGCCATCAAGGAACGCATTCTAAAGTTTATAAAAATTGATTTTGAGGGCTCGTGCTATAAACTTCTGTAATTGGGTGAAAAGTATTTCTTTACTTACTTCTGTATCTGTAACGTATGGAGGGTGGGGTACCCCATAGTACGTAGGCCTCACTAGGCCAATTTTGCATTTTCCCAAATTGATAGGCACCTCCTAGCTTTTGAACTAGCCTATAGATATAATTTAGTTGACAATGTTGTCAAGAGGTGCTTTTCTTATATCGTCCGGTGTTAGCCGATACTCTCCGAACGCAAATCGTCTATTAAATGAGTGAGTCGGGAAATCGTAGGGGATGTGCTCTATGGTCTCATATTCATGTTTGCATACCCTGCAGAGTACATATTCTGACATTTACTTGCAACAAAGATGCTTCCAGACTTGGCAATTATCAGTCAGAATGGCTGGGATCAGGCGCAAATTCTGTCTAGTCATAGTCAAGTATTTGTTTGCTGTAACGTTATCAGGTTAACTTAAAAGCTCCCTGTCAACTTTATAGTCGGTTACCTTTTAATATGACATGCCGTTTGATTCATCTTAAGGTGACCAAAACTTTGTGACATTCTATTACTAACCCTGAGTAAAATCGTGGCATGTCCAAGGTAAGTAGTTCTTATCTGCATTCTGCATAGATTAGCATGTTTCTTTAAGGGATATTGTTTCTAGTAACTTCTTTTGCTGCTATGAGAATCCCCAGAGCTAAGAGTCCATTTTTCATTATGGTTTATGGATCTGGAGTATATTTCACAGTCTGAAACTTGTGTTGTTTTAGAACCGTCGCGTCGGTGTAAATATGAATCGTACCTACCACTTCCGGTCCTTTTATTTGTTTTGTTCTAACTTTTTATGGCTTATGGAAGATATATCTTGGTGAGATGGAGTACATGTTTGCTTCAAATATTGAAAGAGTGAAATGCATCCTACCAAAGGCGACCACTCGCCTTACCAGATTCTTTACCTGGTTCTATTCCCAGTCTTGTGTAATTATAGCTTATGCAATACTATCCAATGTCCTAAGAAGCCGTATGGGGAACAAAAATTGCCTAAAATTGTCTTCATTATAGGGCAATAAAAGTTTTTAATGCGTAATTCTTAAAACTAAGTTGTCAAAGAGAAGAACAATGAATTAAAAGGAACTCCAAAAAATAACCAAGTTATGACGAGAGCAACCCCGAAGAAAAAAATTAAATTACGAAATAACTCCACTAAATAAATTATATTAAAGAACATTTTTATACTTTTATTCTCTCATCAACCACCACTGTAAATATTATTTTATACCTAAGTTTAAGCCCATATACTATAATATCATTAATATTTACTATACCTGAAGGTATTTTGCAAATCAAGTTTTAGTTTCAGATCATTAATTATGTTTTAATCTATACAAGTTTCTACTTTAATAAAAATAATTTGAAATGTGTTTGGAATATTGCTTTTAATCAATGGATCAATACTTGCGAGACTTTGATGTCAACTTTTAAAATTGATACAGTTGATAAGTGTTTACAAATTCTAAAGATAAACGAGCAAAATATTAATTTTAAAATATTACAGATAAACATCCGGAGTATCAATGAAAACATTGATGAATTTAAAATACTTCTTCACAGTTTATATTCAGACCGGGAAAATTATCGACGTTGGTCTATTTCACATAAATAGATACAACTTTATATATAATGAGAGCTATTATAACAAAAATGATGAAGTTGCGGCTTATATTAAAACGTCATTAAAATTTAATTATACCACAGTTGAAATCATTAACAATATAAAGGCGCTTAATATAAGGCTCAAATCAGGTACATAAAACATAATTAAAATTATATCATTTTACAGGCCATCAAGTTCAACATGAATATAATACAAGACAAAAATGTCGTTATTTAGCTCCATTGATGGTTTCACAGAGATCATTTTCCTATTTCGCACCCAAACTGTACAATATAATTCCTAAGAGCATTTAAACGGAATCAAACTTGTTTACGTTTAAAAAATACTAAAACAATTTATTCTAGCTAACCCTCGCAGTATGATTCATGGTTATTTTAAAAATTAAACATTATATCTATCCAAAAAAAAATTAAGATTTTAGATTTTTAAATTTTTGAACTTTTAATAACAAATAAAAAAAAAAATAAAAGATTGTAATTTAATTTAATTTATTGTACCAACGTTAGGTTATATTTTTAATTTATTTATGTTTAAATCGATTTTAGTAGTTTATGTTACTTTTAAATATTATTTTAGATTTTAAATATATTTCTTTTGTTTTTCTCGAAACAAGCGTTTATACGCTTATCGAGAATATTTTATTCACAGATACTGTTTTAAATTGATATAATACTTTGTAATTGTAATTATTATGGTATTTTTTTTGTAAATAAATTATTATTATTAATAGAAAAGGGCATAGTATTCTTCGCAACCGACGTTATGTTGAGACATGCT